TGGGCTTCTAAACTGCTCACTGGTCTGATATCTCTCCCTGCAAGCATTCTAGCTTGCAAGTGTTTTTAAAATTTGGTGCTCAAAACAGAGCACAATACTCCAGTTGTGAACTAAGCAGTGAAGAGTGCATGGGACTGTTACCCTCCTTGATCTGGGTACTATTCTTTTAATGAAGTTTAAGATTGTATTTGGTTTCTTTTTAGCAGCTGAGTCACTCTCTTGGCTCATATTCAGTTCTCATATTAATTTACAAGAAGTTCTTTGAGTAGATTCAGAGAGATTCCTATTAGTAGAGCTAACAAATGAATGCCTGTTTTCTTCTCATTGAGTCTAGGCTGTTTTCTTCAGAAGTACTAGTCATTCTTAAGCTTCCTGAAATCTAAGAAAAGAAAAAGAATTAATTGTACAGTGCCGGAGTTGATCAAGTAACAGGAAGGTCCACAACTGCATTGCTGAGTATATGCAAAAGTAGATAATATATAACGAATCCCTATTTATCCATCACAGATTTGACCATATCTGTCACATATACCTCAACTGTCTTTTTCTTTTTTGCCTATTTTAAAGAAAATCTTTTCACCTCTGTAAACTTTAGTATACATCTCTTAAAGATATCTTGGCACATAACCACATGCCATCGTGTATAACAAAGTTGACAATATTTCCTGGTGTTAGCTAACAACCAGTTTATAATAAAATGTTTTCAATTGTTTGTCTTTTTACAGTTGGTTTTTAATTGAATCAGTACCCAGACAATGTCTACATATTACATTTGGTTATTATGTTTATTTTCTCTTTTAACCTAACACATTCCCCCCTCCCCTTACTTTTTGGCATAATTTCACCCTGTCCGCTCCTTTGACCCTTCATGTCTCGGTACCAAGTTCTTTTACTGTTCTTTTTGAAATATCTGTAAGTGTTGTCCTTCTTTACCCCAATTCATACATTTTTAGAGTATTATGTACAAAACATGAGCTAAGCATTGTGGGACATAGAAAAGTTAATTTGGTATATACCTGGCCCCCTATGAGCCAGCAATCGAATGTTAGATGTATACAAAACAATATAAAGCAGATCATTTGCCTTCCAGTGGGTCATGCCTTGATTATATATAGCCTCTCCCCACCTCCCATTTTTGTTTTTGTTTTCTCCCCCTGGAAAATGCAGCCAGTGAAATCTTTTTTTTTTTTTTTT